GGGGGGGGGGGGGGGGGGGGGGTGTACTATTGTTGTTTTGCTGGCCTTAGTTGTTAGACCATTGGTCAACAGGGTCGTGTCATAGCATAAGATAGATGGGGTCGGGGGGGGGGGATGAGCAGGCAGGTAGGTAGGAAGGGGTAGCCAATACGGCAGTGTCTTCGCGCTTGAACAAATATGGAGATCGAGTGAAGTGCTTCCATGAATGAAATGCCTGGTACAAACACGAGGACATTGTTGTGTTTCATGAGAACAAAACACACTAATAAGTGTTTGATTATGGGGAGCGCTCCTACGGCACCGACGAGCAAACAGCACAAGAAAAATATAAACGAGCCTCACACAAACAGTGGAGCCAAAGTCTTAAATGACTCCCCAAGCTCTCGCCAGACACACAACCCAAACATGCCTCTTCCGCCTCGGAAACCCTGCGGTCCGCCTCCTCCTCCTTCTCAGCCGCGCCCCCCCTCGCCAGCGCCACGCTCTCCTCGGTGTAGGCGGCAGCCTCCTTAACCTTCCGTTCGGCGGTCTCGACCGCTTCTGCTACCTGGCGAGCGGCGTCGGCGGTGGCCGCTGCCACCCTCCGAGACGCCTCCTCCGAAACAGTGGAAACCCTTAGGTTTGCGTCTGCGACGGCGTCGGCTTGGACCTTGGCCACCTGGAGGACCAAGGGGTACACGCGTAAACGCAGCCAGCGTAGTCGTTAGACCGTGCACCTCGAGCTCCTACAGCGCAGGGAGGGAGCGATGTGCCGGGTAAGCTCAGGCTACGTCTCACAAGGGTAAACCAGAGGGGATACTCGTGTCTTGTATGCCATGGTTGTTGGTTGTTAGACCATTGGCCACGCTCCGTCCTCGAGAGGATGGAGCATTGTCCCCACACGACCGATCACCAACGGCCAATCGTGGAGGGGGGGGTTGTTCCTTTCCTCTGTCGTTTAGACATTCGTTGGCGGGGGCGGGGGTACCGGTCACTCCCATGACACGCGACGACTACCCTTGGTCTTCGGGGCGGCATCGCACCTCGCCTCCGTACAACGGGGGGGGGGGGGGGGGGGGGGGCTCTTTTTTTTTGGGTGCCTTAAGGGTTAAACCCTTTTCCCCCCCCCCCCCAAAGGAAGGGGGGGGGGGGGGGGGGGGGGGGTTTTATGCCCCCCCTTTTTTTTTGGGGGGGAAAAAAGGTTTTTTTTTCCCCGGGAAAAGGGCCCCCCCCCCGTGGCCAAAAAACTTTCCCCCCGGGGGGGGGGGGTGTCGAAAAAAAAAAAAGGAAAACCCCCCCCGGGGGG